CACTGATTTCCGCCCTGACTGAAAACAAAACGGTGGGCTGATGCTGAAATTATCAACCGCTTCTGTGTAGGGGGAATCACTGAGGAAAATATTATACTGTAAAATGATTGTGATTCAGGAACAAAACATGCCGTCACTTCGCAGGTTTACGGCGCTCGTTTACAGAAGCAGGCAGGCGGGAACATGGGCAACCAGTTGGGCGAGGTCAACTCCGCTAGCTCGCGCGAGTCCGCCGGCTCGCAACCCTGACTACTCGCGCAGTCCAGGCAGCGCGCGCACATCCGTGGCCAGCTCGCGCAAGCTGCTGCAATTTGGTACATTCCTGAGGGCTGAAAGTTTGTTTTCTGAGTTCCTTATATGCGCGGAAAGTTCTTCTTGACCTGACTTGGGCCTTGGTTTCATCGGAAGTTTCATGCATGAGTTTTGGCCTTGTTAGTGTCCTTGTAATCGGTTCTTTATCCATGAGCCACAGATTAGGACTCCTATCAAGAAGCTTGTGAAATAAGTGAGGAAATGGGCTGTGAAAATTTATTTGAAAGGCGTCAATGCTCTCCAATCATCGGGTTTAAACCGACTGAAAGGGTCCTTCACTGACCTGGATACGAAGCTGAAGGCGGTCAACTCAAACTCCAAGCTACGTAACGACCAATCACCTTTGCGCCGTTGGTCCATATCAGCTTCAATTATTTTAACGCAGCGACGTTGCCCACATAGAAACCGCAAAACAGCAACCGCCGGTATGAGTAGATTGAATGTGGCGCCCTTCTCCTTGCAGGCCCAGGTGACTACGCGTTCTGCTCCGCTCAACTGCCCAACGGGCTACCCTGCGGCCCCTATAACGTGATAGAGGCAATCTATCCCACGATTCAAACGGTGATGTTGATTGTTTGCTGCCCTCAACCCTGCCCCGTCTTGTCAAACCCGGTTGACCTCTACGCCGCAGAGTCTGTGTCTCTGTCTGGATGTGTTTTACTGGTGACCCGGCCCGTTCAAATCCCGTCAGCCCCCGCCCAACCTTCTCCTACCCCGGGTCCTATTATCACCCCAAGCGTTACGCCTCCGTCAAACCCGATTGTTACCCCAGCCCCAACTCCCACCCAAACCCCTGCTCCCATCCCGACCGCTCTCGCCGTCGGCCCGACTTCACCGGGCCCCTTGACTGGGCCCAGCCCGGCTGCTTTCGCAGGCGCCCCGACGCCCGGGGCCGCTACAGGTACGTACCACGAAGTCTCCGGTTCATTAGCCTTGCCTGGATCGATAGCACTTAATTCACCGGGCCACCAACCCGGCTGGGGTGCATCTGAGGCCCTGAACTTCTTCTTGTGGCTGACTTTGCCGTGTTTCACTCTAAAGCAGGGCCCGGATTGAAAGGGCTTTTGGACTTTGAGCTGGCGTGACTCAAAGCGCGTTCCGGGCTCAGAAGTCTGGTTCTTTCTATGGTCCTAAATATGGTGATTCGAAGAATTCAAAAGTAGTCGTGATTGTTGCAAAACCTCATGCTTGACTAAAAAGCATCGACATAGTTCACGGAAGACACTTAGACATTGCGGATTTGACGACCGATGGCTCCTTTCAACACTCCAAACCTTTTCTGTTTCTGCACGCAGCTGGTGGGATTCAGGCGCCCCTCCTCCCCGCCCGCTAATTCTCCGGATACGGCGTGCCATTCCCATGTGATTCAAATTTCGTTTGCATGTCCGTCTGTCATCCACCTAAAATCGGCACCCGGCACTACTTATACTTTAGTTCACATTTCCATAAGACTTCGCCTACCTCAAGCCGTTTGGATCAGCTGGCTAAAAGAAAGTCTCATGATAATTTGATGAGCTGTAAAGTGGATTCGAAGGACGTGGCGCAGATTTGGCAACGTTGAACAACGTGGGTAGTGCGCCCTTCTTGTGCCAAAAACTCGCTCACCATGAGAGACAGTTAGTCGCGCCCTACTTGAAAGTACCTTCGGTTTTGAGCAGACGTTCTATCGCTCTGCAAATTCTCACGGTTCATGTGTGAAGAATCCTTTAAGAAGATGATGGGTTTGACTAACCAGCACTAGGCCACGTATTTATACTGAATCATAGAAGTAGCTCGATGCTGTTGATTGTGCTTGTCGTTATCTGCTGCAAACTCCGGTGCGTTCGATGTCCATGACATGACTTTGAAAACCGGACACGCTTGTTAGACAGGGTCGGCTGAAAGAAACAATGCACGAAGCCTATTAAGTCGATCAACGAATCGCAGAACCTTGTTGATTGAAGGCACGAAGTTGCAGGCTTGCAGTACCCGCGAAGTGCTGACGAATGTCGACTTCTCAGCGCAGGAGAATCATGGAGCACCGAGCTGGTGCTCATCCTGTCATTTAAAATACTCGCACACTTGGTATATCTTTAGTTCTCCGCCATCTTGGGAGCACCCATCTCCATGACAGTGCCACGTTTCTCGTCTCGCCCCACAATGAAGCGCGCCGCTATGACTCCAGGCACCGTGCGCGTAGCACCAGCGCCGCATGCGCAATGAAACGCGCGTGGTGTCGCGCGCGTTCTGCGCTTGCGAACGCATGCGCTGCCAACGGACGCTGACCATCAGAGAGCGAATACGGCTATCGCAACAGCAGTCACCCGCGTTCATGGCGGGCGGCGGCGCGACTCGGAGACTCAGGCGCCCACGAGCCCCTCGGCCTTCATGCACCGGAAGAAAAAATCATTAAATTAGTTTGACTTGTACTTCAAGTTGGTCAAATGAGATTTTCACCAAGCAAAACCTGGGTTACTTCTGGTTCGATGCCCTTTAACCAGTCATGGTTAAGGGCGACACTTTCTGTGATGCCCATGACGGGCCCGGAAGAGGCCCATGATTGATATTTATAAACGGATCCAGTGATTCGGCGGGCCGCCGCGCTGAGCACGTCTCTTAGTATGTAGCAAATGAAACCCGTAGTAGCTACGAATGGTCGGAGAGATTATGGAGGTCGGAGGATCATTCATTTCTGTCAGACCATGTTTTGGTCTCAAAGAGAGTCCATTGAAAGCCTTCAAGCCTGTCTTGGTACGCCAGCAACTTGGCAAGTGGATGTACTGATAAACTGAATTTTCTCACGCTCGAACATTATCTTTGTCAAGATTCGTAGAAGATTCATAGACCGAGAGAACTGAGAGAAGAGAGAGAAGGAATGGTTGCATAAATTTCGCCGCCGATGACTCCGACCCGGATTGCGGTGTTGTGACATGGCCACATGGCGTCGCAAGTGGACTCGGACAGTCGCTCATGTTCTGTAGCATGTTTAGAGCAGGGAGGGAGCAGGGCCATAGAGATCACGCCTAACGCTGGGTGCTAAGTATCCAGACCAGTGCGATTGCGAATTGCATTAACACTAGGACCGATTGCTAACCGTGCCCAATTGGGCACGGTTAAATTATTTGCATTTTGCCTCAATCTGATTGGAAAATACAAGTTTTTGAAGAAATCCTTTCTACTATGTGATTATGTGGGTACCTTTTAAGAGGCAACGCCTTGGGTTATCAAAAAATCTATGTTTTGACTTGTATACAAAGTATGAAAGGAGAATGGGTCTGCAGCAAAAACTGGGCCAAAATCCAGCCGTGCCCGTTTGGGCCCGGTTATGGTTATATAGTAGTATGAGCACCTTCACTCCACAATTTCAAGTAGACTTTTCTTAGGTGTTCAAAGAGATGCTAAAAAGCTTTCCTATGGCAAGTATTGAGAAAAATGCAAAAATCGCTCAAGTCCATGCATGTACTTTGATCCACGGAACATCATTATTCGCAGTTTTTTTTGAAATAGCCACGTTCCATTCCCAAAAACATGGACTTTGCCCTCGTTCGAACTCCGGAGCTTCTCATGGGACAAAACCTTGTGTTTGACATCTACATTACGCTTGTTTGCAACATCACATCTTTTGATTTAGTATAGCTACGGGGTTCACTCGCGCATTCGAACAGGGGTGAAATAAGGGTCAAAATAATAGAGAAGAATCATAAACCGATTATGTTTAGCCGTTTTTTCACATTTGATGTGTTGGAATGAGTTTGGTAGGCCGTTTTGGGTTTGTGCACGTGGTTACGATGCTTGATTTGACCGTCGTTGCCCGAATATATCAAATTTTATCAATTATTGGCTGTTTACTAACCCCTCGTTTGCTAACGATAAACCCTAACCCAAATTTAGGGTCACCGGCCGGTTTTCAGACCTACTATAACCACTAAGTCTAGTTATGTGCCGAAACCTCGAATATTTCCAAGAATCGTAAAAATTACGACCGTTAAATCGAAATCAAGTTAACCGTGCCCGTTTGGGCACGCCGTGCCCAGTTGGGCACGGTTATCGGTCCTAGTGTTAACAACAATATAGCTAGGTGATTTGAGGGCCGTGTAAGCAAAGGAGGAAAGTTGAGAAATATCGACACCGTCCTATACCGCGAGGCGGGAAGGCGGCCGGCGGCCGCCATCGCCCAGCCCATCGCACCGTGGCACGTATATTCACGTGTCATCTGGCAATTTGACACTCACTCCTGCCCATAAGTCACGCCATCCCGGTCCCCATTTTTCACGTGGTTCAGTGACCAGTCTACGGCTGCGATGACGACAAAGTGGTAAGCCCTGGTCCAGATGGATTGTACAATGTACATATGCTGAACACGTGGCGATGATTTTTTTGATTGTTGACGGTCCGATGTGCGGCTTCGTCGAGATGACGGCTGCAGAAGCTTCTCTGATCCAGTGGATTAGACTCAGACCGAAGTCATCGGACGGTCAAGGGCATGCCAGTACAGTTCTGGGTACTCGGCTATATCCTATTGGTCCGGCGGATTGCATTACGTGGGATCAATCATACAAGCACGACACTTGGCAGTAATGTGAGCGAGTAAGTGTGCTGGCAGACTGCGAGAGGTGGATTGGATTGCTGTGCCTTCGAAAGGTAAACTGCCAGCCTGCCAGCCTGTCGACATGGGACAGGTCAATAGGTACCTTAAATACCTAAATATACAAGAGCCTGTTGAAAAAGGCAACAATATGCACTGGCTACTGGTAGCAGTGCTATGAGAATTTAGGTACCGTAGGTAGGATCTGGTAGCAAAGAGCATGGACTTGGAGGCCGGGTCTTGTCAACCGCATGCACACCACCAGATTTATAGCAGCAGTGGCAGCAGCAGGCTTCACTTTGAAAACTTCCCATAGGTACTTCCTCTCCATCTCTCAAACTTCGCCCTATCAAAGTTAAGAGATCACACACGCCATCAACAAGCTGCCGGCAGCTGCCTCTGAAAGCCTAGAACGTTCAAAATGGCTAACCGCTCCGACACGGGCATCATCTGCGCGGTGGCGCTGCTGAACGGACTTCTTATTGCAACGAATGTGGGCATGCTGTCGTACGTTGTGAACAACATTCTCGACCACACCCCGAATCTTCGGCTTGTCAAGCCAAGTGAGGTTTGAACAAGCATTCTTGATGATGAGCTGCTGCTTTCAGGTGTTTGGAGGAGAGTGGGTTGAAGAATCTGCAAGCGCTTGTCCAGTTGAAGTTTTCAACATGTTCATGAGCTTGAGCTTGTCTTTCGCCTGCAGTCGCTCAAGGTACTTTAAAGTATTGTGCTGCGGTGTTTCTCGTTCGTAACAAGTTGCTTATGCTGAGATTAGGGGGCCTTTGCGCAAGATCATGAGAAAAGAATGTACGAACAAAGTATATCAGGTCTGGGTGGTCCCTGTTTGGCGACTTGGAAGACCGTTTTGATGTCTTCTCTGACACCTTTCTGTTTGGAGAAGGGTACCCGCACTGTGAGCTGGGAATCTGCATAAAGCTACTGCCTTATAGTGTTTGGGGAGCAGCCTTTCTGGGAAGCAGCTGAGACACGAATTCCTGTCTTCTGAAACTTGGTCTTCTTGGTGGAAAGGAACTCACAAAAGTTCTGTTTGTGTTGTCCAAATGACGGACCTGGCTCTCTTCTAACCAGTTTCCATCCTTCTAGAGGGTATGGACAATCATGTGACCAGTAAAAGATTACCATAAAATTTTAGGGGTAGAGTTCTTATCTGCTAATGACCTCTTCTTTTGGAGGTATTATGCATGCATGCTTCTGGGACAGCTTTTTACATATAATGGTATCAATTGTTTTGACGTGGTTTGACAATTCAGATGAATCTGACTAAAAATGATGAGGCCAACCAGCTTTATCCCTTGTGGATTCTTTATCTCGTTCTGAGTATGCAAGTTGCTTGTTTTGAGACCTTTTAGTGGAGGTTCTTGACATTTAGTCTCGTATTTCGAACAAAGCCAGATAAGATAGAAAAATAGTTCGCAAGACATGAAGCAGTCCAGAGTATAGAACCAGAGCAAAGAATCAACGTTTATGAAGCTGATTTTCTATCTCTCGAGGTAGCTATTGCAAGTCAAGAGACTTCGAGGTAGCTATTGCAAGTCAAGAGAAAGTATTTAGAATACCGAGATGTGCAGCTTGTTTCAACGCTGAGGCTTGTTCCCGCCATTCCTTGTCCCCGTTTAATGGGCTACCATGTACCAATAACTCATGTCCAGTTCGTACAGCACTTCATAAAGGGCCCATGAAGAAAGTGTTTCTCACACATATTGATTCAATTGCCTTCTTTCTGGTCCCTATATCCACTCTTCAAACCAGTTCTCTTCATGCGCCGCGCTTTTGAACAATTGGCTAAAGAAAGTCGGTTCCTTGTCTTCTGCAGATGCCAGGCCAAACGCTGCCACGCAGTACCTCCTCATTTTCACTGCTAGTGCGGTGCTGATTGGTGCCACCAGCGTCTTCCTGGGCTTCATAACCAGTGCGAGGAGGAACAATTCGATTCGGGCGGCAGCTTTCAGCCTCTCCCTGGCATCGATCATCCTGTACGCGCTTTCAATCGGGTAAGCAGAGACTTCCAAGCCGCTTTAACCAGGAGCTAAAGTCCACTTCTATGTCAAGGGCTGCTGGTCAAATCTGATCAGCCCTGAACATTTGTAAGCGGGATGCAGTAATAGCATTTAAGGTCGACTTGAGAAAATGGACTGAAAGATGCCACCTTGGCAGCCAGCGTAGTAGTACCCGCACCGACTGATGTCTATGATCAACAGGCTTCAGCTGATGGGATGCAAGTCGGATTCTGAGTTTGGATCTCGGAGTCGTCAAGTGTCTCCAGATTCGACCAGCCTATAGTATGTCTTGGCCTCTCTCCTTGTTGCCTCGCTCTGACGTTTCATTGGACGAATGATTACCCACATTTTGATTTTCGGTAAACCAACTGTTTTGGTTCAGCTTACGAAGTTCTTTCATTGAGCATATAGTCTCTACGTATTCTGGATTGCTTCGGCCTTTTTCGACACTCTCCGCTTTTTGTATTTTGGACAAAGGGGCGCCAGGCTGACTCCCCTGCCAAGTTTTCGTGTATTCGTAACAGGAGATTCACAGCGGGGGAGCTGAGCAAGGCTGCCGCTCGGCTCGCACTTTGTTCAAAGTTTTTCCCTACCGTTCTTGGGGCCCTATTCGTTAAAGAACATCTTTTGTAAACGTTCTAAGCGACTTTGCCATGAGCAGGTTTGGTTAACGCAATCTCATTCCTGTGTTGCAGTTTTGGAGCGAAGCAGACCCAGCTTGGTGGCGAGGGCAGCGTCCCGGTTAGTACCGCTCCTTTTTCGTTGACTTCCACGATCCAGTTTCGTTGAGTTTGTTCCGAAAACTTCACTGGAAAGCAAGGATTTTGGTCCGGAATCCTTCGAGTCTGGTAAGAGACTGAGGAAGGAACGAGTCATGTGCGCCTGACCCAAAGTTTTGCGGTTCGGCGAGATTGTTTTCCGAGTGGCATATTGAAATCAAAAAGCATCCGGAACGACATCCTTCATTCACAGAGGCTGCTCATCGCTGCTGTTCAAGGTTGCTACCCCGAAGAACAATATGTCTTGTTTTCTCTTCCGTTCTTTTCCTTTCGTCGGCGCTGTGCTGCAAGAAGAGGGCATCTTCAAGGTGCCAGCTCCTACTTTCTTCTTTGGCATCGATTCGTACAGAAACATTGCACGAGTCCTGGGTTTCGCGCGTGGTACAAGCGAAAATGGCTGAACTCAATGAGTCAATTGTTGTTTTTTCGCCGTCTCACAAGCGACTTTCTCAATTTTGCAAATACCAAAGATGGCAGAGATTGGAACTTGACTCCGTCGCCGTCTCACGCGTAACTCTCTCGGTGTTTGCAAAAAACAATCTTTACGTTGGACGCTGTCCTGGTGGTCACGATTCTCATATGTACGAAGAAAGCGGAAATCGCGTCATACGTTGTCGTAATTCTCACTTATTTCTTTTCTTATTGTTTGCAGAAAGCTATCTTTGCCCTGGACGTCGTCCTCGTGGTGACTGGCACTCTGTACGCAATTCTGCTGTACATGGGCCTCATTCACGATGGGCACGCGGGATTGGGAACTGGTACAGCACCGGCAGGAGCACCTCACTACGGCGGCGATTACAAAGTTTGAGTCGCTCATGGAGCGGAAGTAGAAGTAGAAGCTGAAGTAGTTTATAACATGCTGAGCGTGAGGTTGGTTTCTGCGAAGGTGTGTGATGTAGACCAGAAGCAAGTCAAGTGAAGAACTTTGAAATGTTGGTCAAATGTTGGTCAGATGTTATTTGAGTCCATTGCGTAGAAGCTGCGAAATATACAGCGCGTAGACACTCTGCTTTGCGCAAGAGCTAGCGAGAAACTCTTGAGTAGGAAATGCACGCAGTGCACGCGGTAGACTAGCCAGCGTTGCAACCTAGCTTGTCAAACGCTCTGCATTAACCTAGCTAGTTAGCATAGCGTGTTTCTACCTGCTGATTGTACTTACTATTTTGAAGCGTCAGAAATGATATTGCCTTGTCTCGTACGGTACACAGTGATGCGATTGTTGACGGTATTCTGCATGCAAATGGTGTGGCCATGAATTTGATGGATTGCTCCTTGTTTAGCTAGTGACTTTTTAAGTTGCCGTTGACACTTGAATGATGCTTTCGTTACTTCTTTGACGGATGATGACTAATTTGCGACGAAGAATCAGATGCTGGCAAGCAAAAATGTTGAGTACTGACCGCCACTATGCTTCGCGCATTCATCAATCTGCGCCCAATCTGCGCCGGTGGTCACCATATCGCTAGGTCGCCGTGCAATTCCAAGTCTGCACGGCTTTCCCATTTTTTGCTCTAATCCGAATAAGTTCGTTTGCTTCGTCACTGATGCAATCAGTTTTCTGTCGCATAGCATTTGGCGACCATTCGTTTTCGGATCGACCTTTTATCCACTCTGCATTCGACTGAACATTTCAACCAAATTTACGCAACTGTAACCGCTTGAGTTATAGGTATTGTAACCGCTTGAGTTGTTTTGTGTTTTCACTTGTATAAGAGAAATCTAACGTCGCAACGCTGTGGAATATTGGAGTTCTCCTATACAAGTGAAAACACACATAACTCAAGCGGTTACAATACCTATATAACTCAAGCGCACGGCACCCGGTTGGATGAACGCATCGTCCATGGACAATACATCTTTTCTTGCCCGGCGGGACAAAACATGGCGCGGGCCCCCTCAGTACCATAGCAGTTTTTCACATTACCGTCCCGGCAGCTAGGGAGCGTCGATCCGGCCGCACACCTCTTTGATCGAACTTCAGCCGTATTCTACCCGGCGGCACGCCCAAAATGCAGTCTTGATTCTGATTCGCCGCCGGGCCTCTCTCAGCAACGTCCTCCGGCTGAGCATTGGAGTTTCTCGAAGGACGGACAGAAGTCAGGGCGCTCGGACGTCTTGACCGCGGAGTGCTCAAGTGCACGGAATTTCCGGAAAGAGTCCGTCCATCGCTCTGCAATCCCACTGGCAAGCGGGGCCATGCGCGCGCTTGATTTTCCGGGTGGCGGGCCCGGCCCGGGCCCGGGGCTGCGCAAATGTGACTGAACTTGAGTGTTCGAACTTCGCGGACGGTGCTCCGAACCAGATTGTACTCTTCAATCGGACGACACGCAACCGTCCGCAAGTCGAGTCTGAGCCCTGGCCAGCTTGGCTCAGCTAGTGCAGCCTGCAGGATCTGCGGAACTCGTCGCTCCATGCACAGTCTCTGGCCCGCCCCTTGCCAGCAGGCGGCAGCAAGCTGGGCGCACATCCAGTGTGCAGTTTGTGCTTTCCTGTTTAGCGCCAACATCAGCAGAATATCTTCTTCCCTTTTCTGCTGAAGTTGGAAGTCCTGTCGAACATCATGGCGGAGAATCAGGAAGAGGATTTGGAGCTGAGTGACTTTGAGGACGAAGATCTGGACGCTGCACCAGAAGTTGTGAGCAGCAGTGTGGTAGATACCCTGAGAGAAGGATCTAACACTTCTGCAAGTGAATCTCCCACAGAGCTTGCCAAGCAGCCTGTATCTACCCCTACTCTACATTCTGCAACATCTGCGGTTTCTCAACCTTCCGTTACGCCACGGCAAAATCTTAACACAAACGAGAATGGAGACAAGGCGAGAATGCCAGATGGAGAATCTGCGTCAGAGATTGCAATAGAGCGCAGGCAGAGGGAAGCGGCAGAGGCTGCTTTGGAAGAGGAGCGCGCACGGGCAGATGCGGTGGAAAAGGTTCTGAGGTCTAGCCAAAGTCGACAAGTAAGTTCTCCTGTATAAGCGCAATTTAGTCGGTAGGGCCCCCTCCTTCAAAAAAAGCTGTATAAATAGTGCCAATCTCTTCTTAAACCTCTCAGGATCCATTTCGAGACTTGTTTCGAAGCAGTATGTTCGAAACCTGCTGATCTTTTCATATCGCCTCACAAGAGGAGATAGATGGTGTGTACAGCATCTGTGAGATGGCGCTGGAGCTCAATCATGGTTGTTATGCGGATCGCAGAGGCTGCCTTTCTGGGCTCAGCATTTCTGCTGCAAATGTCAAGTGTGAATGGAACCAGGGCGGCGCCTTTGTTGTGAATCGCTTGACTTCAGCTGAATTCTCGTGATTCTCTACTCGTTCTTCCTTTCTCCAAGTACCAGGTTTGGCTGCAAGGCCGCAGGCTGTAAGAAATTCTGGTTGCGGATTAAATAAAATTATCATAGATTGAACTACAAGCATTCCTACCAGTCCGAAACAGTTGAGTTGTTTCATCATCGCAAGGAAGAACTCTAACCTACTTGGTCTATGGTGGACCGCAGCTGGATTGCTCCACTACAGGGCAGCTTCGGCAGAAATTACACCTGTCCCTCTGGTACCCCAAGTTGATCATCCCTGCTCAAGTTGCACCGAATTGGTACTGTCTATCTTACATGCTTTGATATCATTCAGCAGACTACTCTTCAACATCTCTTCCACACCAAGTGACGCTCGACGTTTTGCAAGCCCCCCTAAGGACGTTCCGAGCAAACGAACGGCCTTGAATATCTCCGGTTCATTTGTTGTTCAAGATTCTTTTGTTTTTTCTCCTGCAGAACGACCTCGAAAACGCTTTGAAGCGTGCCGGCAGCCAGATCGCCGCAGAGAAAGAGGCTCGTCAAGCCGCCGAAGCCGCCCAGGCTACGCTCCAGTCCGAAAAGGAAGCTGCTCTCAAAGTGAAAGCCGAAGCAGAGACAGCAAAGCTTGAGTCCGACACCGCGTTTGCGAGAATGAAAGCGACCGTGCAAGAAGCGGTGAGGCAGCGAGACGAGGCGAGACGAAATTTTGCGGAGGAGAAGAGGCAGCGGGAGGCTGCGCAGGGGTTGGGGGAGAAGGCGAGGGACGAACTAGAGCGGCGGAACGTCCGCGCGGCGATGGAGCTGTCGGAGATGGAGGCTAAGGTGGCGGAGGCGCGGGGGGAGGCGGAGAAGCTGAGGGAAACGTTCAAGCAGCAAGATCTGAAGTAAGCGCCCAAGCGCAGCACGTATTAAGCACCCAAGATAGGGGCCTCGAGAGCATCGTCCCCTTCGTGCGCAACATGATGGCAGTTTCTTCTGCTCCGGTGTTTGTATCATTCCGCGGGTGCATCCAGGAGCTAATTCCTGATCTCGAAAGTGCGATTCTGCAGTAACACATCCCGTGCAGCCTGTTCGGTCGGCGGAGCCCTTTGAAGAATGGCCGCTAAGAGGTCCAAGGGAGATTGTCGGAACAAGCCTCCAATCCCGTATTTTTGACACAACCCGTTCTGTGACAGGCTGTTGGAGTTCGAGGGCAGTGTGAAACGGCTCTCCGACGAGCTGGCCGCCGAGAAGGGCCGCCGCGAGGACGCCGAGGGCAAGCTCGCGGTCGCCGAGGCCGAGATGACGTCACTCCACCGCAACGCCGACGAGGCCAAGTCGCTCCGGGAGAGGGTGACGTCAGCAGAGCGTCAGCTGGACGAGCTGAAGGAGAAGCTGTACGATTCGGAGCAGAAGCTGAAGGAAGAGGAGCAAGCGAAGATGCGCGTCGAGTCGGAGCTGAAAACGGAAAAAGAGTTGCGGGCGCGGGAGAAGGCGGAGGTGGATGCGCGGAACGTGAAGTTGCGGAGCAAGTTCGAGGAGCTGATCAAGGACAAGGGGACGCTGAAAGCGGCGCTTGAGGAGGAGCGGGAGAAGGCGGCCAAGATGGGGGCGGAGATGAGCGGACTAGAGCAGGAGATCCGGAAGGCCAAAGTGAGTGTCAAATGCTTCTTTGCAATTGTCTGGCTGTTGTCTGTGGTAGATCTTCCCTGTCTGGTAAAACGACGAGCGCGAGATTTGGAAGGCCAAGGTGACATCCAGTTGAGTGCTTTCAGATGGCTAGTGTTGTTTGTGGTACGATAATCTGATCGGTGGAGAGGGAAGCACCGGAGGCAGTGGAAGGGGAGGCAAGCAGAAAGTGTTGGATTCTGAATGAGGGCAAGCGAATTCTTTGGGGCCTTGGGATCCAGAGAGAGGTATTCTTGGGAAAGAGTTATGCCGTTTCTCATACAAAGTTGTGCCACGCCTGTTCTTTCTTTTGCGAACAATTTTTGTATTTTCCAAAATTCTCACTGCCTCTCGCCTTTCGCATCATTGGATTTATAGATCTTGTAAGCTGGTTCGTGCGCTCGTTTGGCCGGGCCGGGTCCCGGTTTTTGGCAATGACAAAAAGCCAGGGAAACCCAGCAGAATGGCAGCACTAAGCACAGGGGTGGACATGGATCAGCCTGTTTCAACAGGTTGACCCTTTGGCAGCCTGGAAAGGTCGCGGACGACCTCTTTGTGCAAGGAATTGAGGAAATGGACGTCCATGATTATGTATCTTGTCATGTTTCCATCCTTTTCTCTTTCTTCAGATGGAACACCGAGGAGATGAGCCGCGGAACGTTACGTCTACGAATTGAACAAGTTACTGTAGTTCCAGCTTCTCCATTTGACCTTTGTTGAAAGAACCGAGGGACTCTAGTCGGGGCAAAGAGCTCAAGACGCGGCAACGAACGCAGAGCACCCTTAAATGCACCGAGATAATGCAAGGAAACCTCTTTGACTTGAGACTGGTGTGAGTTTCCGTCTCCTTCATCGTTCAGATGGAAAGCCCCGAAGATATTATTGTTACTCATTTCTCCAACTCTTCCACTGCCCCCCAGGTGGAAAGCACCGAGGAGATCGAGTCGCTGGGCAAGGAACTCACGGCCAAGGACGCGGAGCTGGCGCGGCTCGAGGGCGCGCTCCGGGAGGCGACCAAGGGCGGGGGTTTGCAGGCTTTGCTCGACGAGGAGCGGGTCGCGCGGGCGGCCGCGGAGAAGGGGCAGCGCGAGGCGGAGGGGATCGTTGCGCTTGAAAGAGGACAGCTGGCAGAAGCGGAGAGAGGGAGGGAGGAGGCGCAGGCGGGGCTGGCGGCCGCGAGGGAGGAGAGCGCGGGGCTCAGGTGAGGCAAGCTTCGGGTTTGGGGTTCTGAGACTTTTGACGTGCAAAGTGTGTACCTACGTTGAGAGTTGTGAATGCGGCCTAAAAATCTCTGTGCAGCCTTGCAAAAGGAGAGCGCGGGACTGAGTTGATTTGAGGTTTCGTATCTTGGCGTCTGAGGGTACGCCTTAACCCTCTGATTTTAGAGCTGTGGTGGCCGCTTCAGGAAACATTTGCAGCCGCGTGGGAGGAGAAGAGCGCGGGGCTTAGGTGTGGCGGGCTTGGGATTTGGGATTGCTGGACTTTTGGCATAAGAGATTTGTGTTTTTGGTGAATTGATTAACCGGATTGTGGGTGCGGCTTCAGAGAAGTTGTGCAGCCGCGCGGGGAAGAGAGCGCAAGGCTCAGGTGAGGCCGTCCGTGAGTTCTGCAGATCTGTATGAAGGGACTTTCGGCTGTGTAACGTGGCATCTGTAAGAGGCGGTTGGTCAGGAGGGGTACTTCAGTTCAGGGTACTGCAGTTTGCAAGGTTGATGTTAGCAGAAGAAGGAGAGAAACACAGGCGGGAGAAGCGGCCTAGAAAAGGGAAAAGCGGAGGGGAAGATTGCCTATTGTCGTCTATGCATTTTCCGGTAGATTGTGTGCCAAGGAAAGAGGTATGCAGCTGCAATCAAGTCTAAAGCATGGCGTTGGAGAAGACTTGTTGCCAACTTCAGTGAGCGTCACGTCATTGAAGGGCTCCGGTCGAGAATTGGCAGACGGAGGGATCCCCCTGAAAGTGAACATGTCGAGCGTCCTTGGGTTTGGACTCCGCAGTAACCACCCTTTTGAAGAGTCGACGAAATACGAGCGAGACCAAGTTTGCGGCCGTTTTGTTTGGCAATTGTCAAACCGGTCTCTGTGCGAGGTTACGAGTCCAGTTCTGCCGCACCTTGCAGTCTCCTCTCTGCATTCTTCTGAGGGTTCACGTGCGGACAAGCGAAGGGATTCGGGGCCGGAAACATTCTCTCAGATCGATTCTGAAAGCCTGATTGGAAACCCAGCACGCCGACGTTGTTCTCACGATCTCAATGCGAACATATTTGACGTAGGAGACAGTCAGGATAGTTCCTAGGAACAGGTTTTTGTCAAAAAGTTAAAAGCTCGACTTAGCTTCCGGAATCAGTGACTTCTTGTAGGAGAACAGTTAGACACGGATCCTGAAACCGGAAATCTTTCTGCAGGACGAAGCTCGAGTCCACGGAGGCCGAAGTCGCGTCCTTACGAGAAGCGCTTGAAGCGGCCCAGTCCGCGACCGCCTCCAAGCAAGCGGACTGCGACGCTTTGGAGGGTAAGCTGGCCGAGGCGCGGCAACGGGAGGCGGAACTACGGGACGAGATACAGGGGCTGACGTCAGAGGTGCGCGCGGCGAAGCAGGAGGTGACGGACTGGAAGGGCCGGCACGAGGGGGTGACGTCAGAGAACGGGGAGCTGATGGAGGAGCTCGACAAGAACTCGCGGGAGGTGAGCTGTCATTTTTGGCCGAAAATCTGGAAGCCCTTTCAGCTTTAGCAAGAACGGCGGTGACGTTTTCTGAGTTGTGCGGTTAAGCGGAACAACAACACGTTGCAACCACTTCTGCTCGGTATTGACGTCGACTCCATGAAAGGGTGACTACGAAAGCTCGTGCGTGGCGAGCAGCCCGTCCTCCAGACTCTAGTTTCTGCCAAGCTGCTTTTGAAGGAGCAGAGTCGCGAGGCAAACATTTTACCAAACGGAAAATCCTGGAAGGAGCGCTTTTCAGTACACCCTTCAAACTGCAAAGACATTTCGTCACGGCTTTGAAGGCTCTCACCTGCTCAGCGCCTTGTTTCGCCAAGCTGTTTGCGAGAAATATTGCGTGTGCCTCAGAGCGCATCTCCTTGTCGTGACATGCTCCGTAAAACAACCACTGTCATCCCGGCAGTACTTTACTGCTCGCAATCAGGGAGTTGACAACGATTTGCGAGAATTCGTTTTGGGCGGGATCCCAAAACACGGAAACCCTACAACTTTAACGATTTGTGACGCCCATCAGGAAGGTTTAATTTGCCTCCGGTCCGCTGCAGGTCGCCCGCCTTAACATGTTGGTGTCCCAATGGAAACGAGCGGCCGAAGAAGCTAACGCCAAGATCTCGTCGAAGGAAGAGATTGCTCAAGCCGCCATTGCGGCGCGCGCGGCCGCCGAGAGCTCCCTCAAAATGGCGGACGAGCGGGCGGCCGAGCTGCGGCAACGGGCGGAGGAAATGGCGCAGCAACTTGACGATATTGAGAGCGGGTTAGAGAGGAGGTTACGATCGCAAGGGCTGGGTTTAGGGTTCGGTCAGTGGCGGTGGGATGACTGTATGCCTTGGGCGTCACGTCGAAGTCGACGGCGGGGAGGTGACGAGGAGGGGCTAGGGGAAGGGGAGCATGGTCATCTGATGGAACCGCTGATATAATAGGTCAATGTAAATGGACACGCGGATATTCAACTTCGACAACATCAATATATAGTTCGGATCCCTATCAGAATTCCGTCCCAAGATTATCACATTGAATCAAATAGGACATGTGACAGGCCACGCTTCAAGTTCTTGGTGGATATCCGATTATGACGTCCTGCATGGCCGGCCCAATAACCTCTGGTTCACTAGATCCCTCCTCATTGTATTGCAATCTACCGTACTTATGCATGAGCTACCGTGTGACCGTACTACTGAGGCCAGATTCTGCTGGCACTGGGTGCTGCCGCTGCGCGCCCCCGTTATGCAGGCCCGGGCCAGTCTGCTAGCCTAGGCCCCCTGCGATTGCGGGCCAGCCCAAGCAGCCGGGGCCGCACGCCGCCGCGTCCGAATGGGGCGGCTTCAGTGGGTGGCTCAACGTGACTATATCGTTATGGCATGCATGCACTCTTGTGCGCACCGTGACGCGCGGCGCGCCCGCCGCCGCACGTACGCGCATAAGTGCTTTCCTTGGCACTGCCGCAGTTGCTATACTTCCATACGGTATGGCGCCGGCCCGGTTGCTACATGGTCGCAATTGCAATTTATTGATCGCCGGTCTTTACTCAGTCAGCATGAGCAGCAATGAATAGGCTTGAACCTTATGGATAGGAATTATTGTTGTTACTACGGTACCTTCGTTCGGCAATCTATCAGTATCATGCACTAAAGGGGTGAAGCTAATCAACAAGCCTGCACTGCTTGAGTTAGACAGGACTTGATGGCGGAATTGCCGGGCACGAAAAGGTCATGTTCTATACTGATTGGTACTCGTTGTGTGCTTGCGCGTGGGTCATGTGTTCGTGTGCGAGTCATGATACGGAATCCACCGAGCATGTTCATTGCTGCTAGGACATTTAAGTAACGCGATACGCCGCTGACGTGATAAAGGAACAGGCTGTTGACAGCGTCCTAAGTAACTCAGTCGCCCTAGAGCTTGACAAAATGCTCACACCTGGCCACTTCGAGTTCAGACTCGATTATATTTTTCTATTTACGGTGGGCCACTCGTTTTGAGCTGAGCTTGAGTGCAAGAGTTGGAGGACGAAGACGTCTGTTTCCCACTTCGAAACCAGTTACCAGATAGTGACCAAAGCTGTCAAGCTTTGCCGCAAGATGAGCACGCAAGGCGAGATGTTTGTTATCCTCAGTATCCTCAATATACTTTGTATTCTGTCCTAGTTTTATAGCGCTTCAGTACGTTTGCGACTTGCTCCTGGCCAGCTAATGTTTCAACGGTCCGGGGTCATCAAATTCGTACCAAGGTGGAACACCGAGTGGCCGGGTGACGATTCCTTGTACTTAATCACGACGGGAACAGCAGGCGAGTCCGAATCAGGAGGAACGCGCCACGCCATCCTCACGAAATTTAGCGGCCGGGGAGAAGAGCCGCCGGAATTCCACCGGCTACGTGCAGAAAAAGACGAAGGTCTTGATAAGGAAAGCGAACTCGCAAAATGACCTGCAAAGACGGATCAGCCTCAAACGCCACCCAATCTGTGGCCTTTTGCGCACAATACCTTTTAAGGGGGCGTCGTACTGTGATCCGTAATGCCCCGGCGACGAAGTAGCTCGTGCGCCCGCACTCCGTCGCTAGATTCGGGATCACGTGACCGATTTCTTGGCGACCTGAGCGCAGGATATCCTGCGAAAGGGCCGTCGCGGATCCACGTGGTTAGACGCCCTCTTTAGAAGGAAGGTTAGAAAAAGGGAAAAACCTCCGGGAAAATAGATGGAGCGGTCACGGCCGGTGTCGGGGCTGCTAGGGCAGCCGCGGCGCGGGCCGGGCTGGGCGCGGGAGTCAAGGGGCCCGAAGAAGTCACGCCGACGGGCGCAGCATATGGTTGTGCGCGCGCGGTGTGCTGGATCGCGTACAGTCGTGCTGCACGCCTTGGGCCTGCACGTGGGCGGTGTTAGAAGTATTTGCGCACTGCCACTCGGGCC